TTTGAGTTTTTGTAAAAGTTATTATTACTTAATTTTAAAGTATAGATTTTATGCGCTGATGTTTTTACCGATTATAAAGGCGAACACCAAATGCTACTTAAAAGCAGCCAAAAAAGATTGTACAGCTAAGTTGTACATGTTTTACACTAATTACGCGTTTGTATCCGTGTTTGCCGCCGCTGCTTCTGTTGCTGCTGTTTCTGCATATCAGAAATATACTGACTACTGATTGACTACTAGTTCATCTACACTGCTGAAGTGCTTGCTGAGTGCATTGTGTAACTTGGATTTTAGGTTTCTCTTAAATGGTTGTGTACAGGAAAAAAAGTTAATACGATTTTGAGGACTGTCTACTAAAGTGTTAGTAAATGTTTTTACAAAATAAGTATAAAACACGATCATTGAGCAAACACGCAAAATGCATTTTTACATTGGTCTTTTTCTTTCTTTGATCAAGCCACTGACAGATGGCTGAAATGCGACAAGTGCAGTCGACAACTAGAATCTCCTAGTTAAAGCATAGAACACACAACGGTTTTGCACCAAAGTCCTTATACAATATTAATGCTAATACACACACACACACACACACTGGCAATGCACAATATCAGCAATATCAGTCGTTTGCGTGGCTATTAATAAAAAACTGAAAAGCGGTAGTAAGTGGTTTGGAAAAAGGAGAGAGAGAAATTAGTGACAAGATTAGCATAGAAACAGGGAGGCAGACAAAAGCAGATGGAGATGAAGATGCAGACACGATGAAGCGAATGACGACAAGATGAGCATGGCGCCACATTTCAGGGTCGATTGACGCTTCAGGAGTGAGAAAAAAGAGGAGGAAAAAATGAACTGGAAGTGACTGAAAAGTCGCGTGGTTTGACGGCAAAGGTGATTACAGAGTGGAAGGGAGAGAGAGAGAGAAAGAGAGGCAGACAGGCAAAAAACGCTCTCGCGGTGACAAAATGCAGACGGAAAAAGAGCGCTCATTCATCGTCTGCACGCCTGAACGTGAACACNGAAAAAAGAGGAGGAAAAAATGAACTGGAAGTGACTGAAAAGTCGCGTGGTTTGACGGCAAAGGTGATTACAGAGTGGAATGGAGAGAGAGAGAGAAAGAGAGGCAGACAGGCAAAAAACGCTCTCGCGGTGACAAAATGCAGACGGAAAAAAGAGCGCTCATTCATCGTCTGCACGCCTGAACGTGAACACACACACACAGTCAATGTGATTAGTCGGTCAGTTGAGTGACACTTATCAACACGGCACTTATCAGCAACACACCAGCACTTTATCACCCTACACAATATCACATATCAGCCTTCCGTGCATATCACTGTCACCCGAAGTGGCCACCACGCTTACGCGAAGAAAAGGTGGAGAGAAAAAAGTGTGTCAAGCTGTCAAGCTGTACAAAAGCCGCCTCGTTCACCTCGTCTGTTGCTGCTGCTGACCACCAGTTCTGTTTTTGAGCAAAAAAGCTAAATAGTCTTTACATACAAACTTTTTTTTAAAATTTTGTCCAAAACTAAATCAGTTAGGATGTCAAACAACCACCGCAGCAGCAAGAACATCTATCTTCTGGAAAGCTCTCCCTTTCACCACCCTCTGCTGGTGCTCTCCAATGAGGCTCTCGGCCGATCAGTCTCCGAGCACCTGCAGCCGCTGCTCATCTCCGCCGCCCACCTGCGCCAACTTCAGCAGGTCTTCACCACCGAGCTGCTGCTCGGCCTGTCTGACCAGCCGGCTACGCCCAGCAGCATGCTCATGGTGAACACCTTCGTGCCGGCGTTGCAGTCGCTGAAGAGGGAAGAGCTGACCGGCGAGTACGTCTCACTGGACATCGGCTCCTCAAACTTTCGCGTCCTCTACTCACGGCTGCGACCGAAGAAGGCCGCCGATGTGGACGGCAAAGATGATGACCACTTTGAGGTGAAGTACTACGATATTCCAGTGGAGTACCGAAAGGGCAGCTCCAGCAGAGTAAGTTGCACAATTAGACCACAAGTAACTGAACAGTATAATGTTTTACCATTTTAAATTGCGTTTTTCTATTCAGTTGTTCAACTTTTTAGCCCAATGTATCACCTCGTTTCTGGACGAGGTTTTGCCTCCACCCTCACCAGAAACCACCAACACCACTCCCTCTTCCACTTCCTCTCCCATTCTGCCGCTCGGCTTCACCTTCTCCTTTCCAATGACGCAGCAGGCAATCAACTCCGGTCGCCTTACCACCTGGACGAAGAACTTCGACCTGCCGGACGCCGTGAACGCCGACCCGGCGCTGCTCCTTCAGACGGCCCTCGACGCCACTGGGAACGCCCACTCAGTGCGGGTGGTCGCCCTGCTGAACGACAGCACCGGAACGCTGCTCAAGGGCAGCTACCTCGATGGAGACTGCGCCATCGGCCTGATCATGGGCACCGGCTCCAATGCCTGCTACCTCGAGCGGATGGACCAGATTAAGAAGTGGACCAACCACTCGGCGCAGTACGCCCACCTGGAGGAGGTGCTGGTGAACATGGAGTGCGGCGCCTTCGGCGACAATGAGTGCATCGACTTTGTGCGCACCAAGTACGACCGTCAGCTGGACCAGGCGTCGCTCTTTCCAAAGTCCTTCACGTTAGTAGTAGACAGTTGTTGTTGTTGTTGTTGTTGTTGCTGCTGTTGTTGTCAGCACTTACACAAAACACTGTTTTTTTGGTATTTAAAACACACTCCTTTTCCCCAACCTTTTTTTCCCGTTCCAACAGATTCGAAAAGTACCTCGGCGGACAGTTTCTGGGCGAGACACTGCGACTGATTCTGCTGGACCTGGTGGAGCACCGGCTGCTGCTGGGCGGACTGGCCACCGAGCAGCTGCGCACGGTCAACTCCATCAAGACGTCGGCCATCTCGGAGATTGAGGCGGAGGGGCGTGAGGAGAGCCTGCGGGCGACAGCGGGCCTGCTGCAGTCTCTCGGCTACCGGTCGCCCTCTGCGGCCGACCTCGCCACGGTGCAGTGGGCGACGGCGCGGGTGAGCATCCGCGTGGCCAGTCTGCTGGCGGCGGTGGTGGCCACGCTGGTGCGCCGCATGAAGCGGCCGCGGACGGTGGTCGCCGTCGACGGCTCCGTCTACAAGCGCCACCCGAAGATGCGCCTGCTGATGGCCGACTTTATCGACGAGCTGCTGCTTCCGCCCACAGCCACTGATGGCAATGGCCAATTGTCCTCCTCCTCCTCCTTTCCCAGGCAGCGTGTGGAGCTGATCGGCGCCGAGGATGGCAGCGGCAAGGGCGCCGGCATAGCCGCCGCACTGGCCAGCAAACTGCAGCTCTACTAATGATGATGATAATAACTATACAAAAGATGTTGATTCGCACACGCCTGCTGATTACCAAGTGCAAAAGTAAAAAAATGATTACACAAGCGTTTTTTTCTGAACATTTTTTTTCTGGTTATTTAGGCATTCTTTTTGATAAGTCGTCTGACTAACGCTGCGCAGTCATCGCTACTGTTCACAGCATTGTTGGAGTGAACTGATAGGGCGAAACAGTGCAAAACATTTTGTGATATTTGAAATCGCAAAGCAGTGCTCGATTTCTAAAATAAGCCACTATCGTTGTGTTTGATAAGGTTTTTTGTCCAAATGCACTTAGAGTAATTTTTCTCAAAACTTAATTTGCTTAAAAATGAGTTTTGTTTTAATTTTTTGCAGATCAGTATAGTGCTGAATGACCAAAACACCTTTTACTGAACTAAAGTATTGCTTAAAGTGCTTGCAAAAAACAAAAATTCATTACCATTAAAGGCAAATGAATTGTGGGGAACATAAGTGGTCAGTGCAGCACACAGAAATCTTTCCAGTGCCCAGCTTGTTCATGTCAGCAATATTCTGTGCAAAGTGCCGCAAATGGCTCATACGTAGAGTCTGAAGGGAAAAAGTTTGGTTTTTTTAAGAGGAGCAACTTTTCCCTCTGCGAGCGCTGACAGTGGCAGTTGCTTTTGTGTCGTCGATAGCAGTCACAGCCTGTACAGAGAGAAAAATTGGCCTTCTCAAGCACAGCAAACTTTCTCGCTTTCTCTCGTCTCTCGAGAGGTGGCTCAGTCTGTTTTAACCCACTTGGCGACTACGAGCACCTCAGAGGCTTCCACGCTGTTTACGCTTTTTGCCGCACGCAGAAAAGTTCTCTCTATTATCTTCTGTTTGCTGTTACAACTTAATCACACAGCAGTCTGTAAAGTATCTGGTAATACTCTAAAAACTTTGTGTCACAATTAATAACAACAGTTAACTTTAGTTTTATAGCAACAACTTTACATTTAACCGCCGCTAAGATGTCATCAACGAGTGAACTGTCAACTGCTGCTGAGAGCATCGCCAAATCAACCGATGAACCGTCAACTGCGGTTGAGAACATCGCGGAACCAGCCAGTGGATCGTCAACTACTGTTGAGAGCATGACCGATTCAACCAATGGAACATCAACTGCTGTTGAGAAAATCGACAAATCAACAAGTGGAGAGTCAACTTCTGCTAAAAGCATCGCTGAATCAACCATTGGAACGTCAATTGCTGCTGAAAACATCGCCGAATCAGCCACTGAAATGTCAATTGCTGCTGAAAACTTCTCCAAATCAACCGATGGATCGTCAACTGCTGTTGAGAGTATCTCCAACTCAACCGATGGATCGTCAACTGCTGTTGAGAGTATCTCCAAATCAACCGATGGATCGTCAACTGTTGCTGAGAACATCGACGAATCAACCAATGATCTGACAACTGCTATGGAGAGCATTGACGAATCAACCGATGATCTGACAACTGCTATGGAGAGCTCTGACGAATCATTCGATGATCTGACAACTTCTATGGAAAGCATTGACGAATTAATCAATGGATCGATAACTGTTATGGAGATAATAGCCAGTTTAAACAATGGATCGTCAACTGCTGCTGAGAACATTGCCAAATCAGAAGATGAATCTGAACGTTTGGAAAAAGACGAGGTATTTTCTGAAAACGGGTCGCTAAAAAACGTATTGTCACACACGCTGGAGTTCAAACGCTTTCTTGATGAAGTTTACGAGAACCTTGAACTAAGAAAGCTTCGCGTCGTTAAGAAGCTTCAGCAGCACTACACCAGAAATTTCTACAATTTTGAAGACACTCGCAAATTATTTACTGAATCTCTCATCAAAACAATCCCCAACTTCAACAGTAAGCAACTGACCAAGTGCTCTAATCGGAAATGCAAACTACCCGGCTGCAAGAGGAAGATGCATAATGCATACAAAATGTGCCGTCATATGCATAGTAAGGACGAGGTGCTGAAACCTTATCGCATAGTACCAAGGGGATTTTACAAATACCGAATGGCAGCTCCGCAGATCTGCAACTGCAGCAATGACAATGTCGCAGAGGTGCCAGCAGCAGCAGAAGTTCCAGTTCCAGTTCCAGCACCAGTGGCAACACCCGTGCCCAGTATTCCGAAAAGAGGCCGCCCGCCGACTAAACAGCCAACAACACTGAACGACGCTGAGGGCTCTAAAACGGCGAAGCTGACAATTGCCGAGAAGAAAGCCTACTTTTTAAAGAGGCAGGCAGCACTTCGATCAAAGAGAGCTTATAAGAAACGAAGGAATGCCATTGCACTGCTACAAAAGAGAGCGCCCCCCAGAAAGCGCGTTCAGCGATTCTACTGCAAAGCAAAAGACTGCTTTGGAAACTTTGATCATCATCGGGAGCTTCTTGCACACTACAAGCAACATGGAAAATTTTACAAATGTTCTCATTGCACCACCTATTTTCAAACGAAGGTGAACGTCTACCGTCACTTCATTCGCATTAAACCTGAAGAGTATTAAAAGGCAAAAAGAATGTCTGCCTAAACAGCATTGGTGGACCCTCGTCATTTAGTGTTAGTACTTCATGTCATTAAAAACAGCATTGTTTGAAAAAGAATATTTGTGAAATCAACGATTTTTAATTATTCGTGTATTACAGCATTTCAAAATAAAAAACATTCAAAAATTGGAAGCGAAGTAGCATTATTTACATATATTTAGTTTCATGACAAACAGTTTATGTAAAATGGACTGTTTTGTTTTAATTTTATTGTCTGTATTCTACATTTAATCTTCTTGTGTCATTTGTTTTGGCTTACAAAGACATTCTAACATTAATTTTGCAGCAGTGTATGATGTTTGATTTTGGTTTTTAACAAACGTGTACATTTTCTGATCATTTGACAGATGAACTGTGAAGCCTTGCTCATTAAAAGCTTGTATTGCATCTTTCAGTTGCATTTCTTTGGTTTTGATACTTATGTTTGAAGGAAGTTGTGTCACTAAAATGTATCCTGTTACAACTAAACAAATAAGGACAACCAAACACAAAATAAATAAAAGTAAAAATTTTTTTAATGGGCTCATAGCTCTTCTGCGTGGGGACATCATTTTGTCAAAAAAAAGTTAAACAACAGACGAAATTGACAATTAAAAAACTTTTAATTTTTAAAAAGCTTTGAATGATAGGATGTTACTGGTAAGATGACTAAATGTTAATGAAACTAGTCAACTAAAATAGTGTACAATTTAAGCTTTTTTTACATAAATTCAATTATATTAGAAAAATTTGCAAAATGTTAGTTAAGCCTTATGGGCATTGAAATGCTCATTTAGGTTATCAAACCGACTTAACTTTAATTAAAAAACCACACAAAGATAATGACCAAACAGCAATTACAACAATACCCTTTTTAACAACAGTTTTTAAAACAGTATAAATTGAATTAGCAAAAAATGTAATGGCTCTATAAAAAACAACAATTTAGGTAAAATTTTTGCACAAACGTAGTGTGACTTTTTAATTTAATTAGCAAAGTTATTGCAAATCATTTTGGTTGTTTGTGTGTTCAATATAAAATTAAATTTAAAAATAAATGAGTTTTACAAAACAAAATGAATTAATTTGTTTATAAATGCAAACACAACATTTTAATTGGCACTACTAAAGCGAACAGTTTCCATTAACTCTTCAAAATCGACGCGCAAATTATCTAGTCTAATAGTTTCATAGTCGTTTGACCGATCTAGCAGGCCACTGTTGTAATCGTTGTTCTTTTTAGAAGAAAAACTACCACTAGATTTACTGTCCAACTTTAGTGAAAATCTACCAAAACTCCACTTTGAAGAACGATTTGACTTGGACAGCATTTCATTTACAGCTTTGTCTTCTTTTCTATTGTTTATCTTAAAGCAAGCATAAAATTGATCCACCGGTTGGCTGGCATCGACACGGCAGCATCTTCCCAGTAAGTAAAACCTAAATGAAGCAGTCAAAACTGGCATTTGTCCACTAGTACTACTACTCCTGCTGTTCATCACCAGTTGATCGGCAGTCATTTTTCTGCCGCTAATGAGGTCGTAATGCAGCGTGACCATGTGTCCTGAATTGATGGGTGAAAAAGCCTGCATTGCCAATGGTTTTCCCCTTTGCCGGCTCCAATCAAGTTCGGCTAACTTGATTAGACGGCTTTGCAGGCGACGAACCTCCGCAACCAATTCGCTGGTCACCGAACTAATCAGCTGATGAGAATTTTGCTGGCCGAGCAGAAGTTGAGCCTCCGATGCTGGCCTGCTCCTCTGTTCACACTGATCGACAAAGAGCTGGCCTCCCTCGAGAATGGGCCCGTAAAGTGATTCCTGGTGACGGGCGGGCTCAACGTTTAGGTAGAGAACGAGTGACTCGGGCAGGTATCGGTGGCTGAACCGGTACACTGACTGGTGCAACAGCAGCTGATCAGGGCTCAGTGAAGAAGAAGAAGAAGAAGAAGGTAGTTGTTGAAGAGAGACATTGTGCCGCTCAGAGCATTGAACACAGGACTCGGCGAGGGAGGCAGTGGAGGAGGTGCTTGCCTCGGAGGAGGCAACCGACTGATTGGTCTGTGAGTAGCTGCTTCCGGTGAAAGACCAGTTGGAGTACATTGACTGGGGACGTGATTTAGATTTAGGCGTACTCGGCACTGAGCCAGTGCTGCTCGCTGCCTGCCCGAAAGGCTTAGGCTCGGTTCCGGTTGTTTGAGAGAATCGGGAGCCTCTGTGGGCTGCAAAAAAAATAGAGCAATTAGTAAGAGGCATATCGTTTTGTGGTTGATTATATAAAGCTAGACAGAACCATACCGTTTGAGGAAAAAGCGTCCGCTTCCGAAAGCACTGAGCTGACGCTTTTTCGTTTTTCAGATTTACTCCTCCTGCCTACTTCTTTAATCATTTTTTCCACTGTTTTCTTGGCCTTTTTACTGCTGTTGTGGGTGAAAAACAAAAAGTTTTCAGCTGAAA